GCAGTTGTTGTGGTAGTAGTGGTCGTAGTAGTAGTAGTAGTAGTAGTAGTAGTAGTGATAGTAATAGTAGTAGTAGTAGTAGTAGTAGTAGTAGTAGTACTAGTAGTAGTACTAGTAGTACTAGTAGTAGTCGTCGTCGTAGTCGTAGTCGTAGTCGTAGTCGTCGTTGTTGTTGTATAGTGTAGTGTAGTGTGTAGTGTGTCGCATGTAGTATGAGTTTCTAGTGCTAGTCCTAGTCCAGGCACTAGCACAAGCACGAGCAATGGGACCAGCACTAGAACTAGGGCTAGGACCAGTAGTCGCCGCAGTCGTAGCAGTAGGAGTAGGAGGAGGGGCAGCAGCAAGAGCAACAGCAGGACCAGCAGTAGAAGCAGAGCATAGAGTACCAAGCTCTAAGTATGGATTACTGGGAATAGGGCACGGAGGATGCCCATGCTCAATTCATGCCAGGCTCCCGGAATCCTAGGCCAAATCCCCAAGAAGCAGAACCGAGCTTGCCGGCCTTGCCGCAGCAAGCGATCACCGCCGTGTAGCACACCCTGGGATGGCAGACCCTGTGTGGAAGAACCCAGCTGTTGAAGCCCTGCTAGTAAGAGCTCGCAGTTCAGGGCCTGTGCTTGGTGACTGAGCCCTGAGAGCACTAGTTCCCAAGACTGGGACACGATGTTATTTGGCAGGCTTCGGAGCCCGAATTCTGACGTCCGAGTTGAAGTGTGGCAGACAGATTCCTTTCGGCCCGCTACAAGAGGTGCTTCTGCCTCCCCCACATTGGTGAACCTGGGCCCGCATGGCAAGATGAGAAGAGGTGCTGCTTGGGCTACATGGGTGCAGCCGCCTTCGAAGACTGACCGAGTTTAGACAGAAGGTGGGAAGCTTCGCCAGCTGATCCAGGCCTCTAGGCCTGGCAAAGAGCCGCCCCTGTAGGAGTGCGTGTCTCTAACCCACTCCGCTTTGTTGGGGTGGGCGTTTGGGCCGGTAGAGCTGGGCACATTGAGTCAGAAGCACAAACTCAAATCCGAAGGATGGAGGCAATGGGACACCAGTGCAACCGTGCATTAACCCGCACTGGTGAAGTGTGAACCAGCGTGCCCCCTAAGCTTCGATAGGACCCTGTGACCCGGAAAGAACCACACCACCCGAGACTCGCAAACCCAGATGGGTAAATGTTCAAGTCGTCCAAACTGTGGACAGCACAGTATGCAACTCCTCCATTATCCCCAAGTCAAGGATCGCGTCGGGAGTCAGCCGGCTGTCCTGCACTTAAGCATGTCAACGTAGAAAGTGCCTTCAGTTTTCTTTTTTTGGCCTAGTCTAGTGGCTTCGGGAGGGCTTCGGGACTCCGGACCTTGGTCGCGCGTTCTCTGGCCGCTCCCAAACCCAGAAAAAAGCAGAACAAATGTTGGCACCAAAGCTCTTCGGGTCTTATCCTTCTTGTTCCTACAAGCTAACTAGAATCCATATAGGTCTAGCTAGGACCTTGAAAGCAGGGTTATCGCTGTTAACTTGGGTTTACGGCCTCGATGCTGAAACCAGACCGAAGTAGACCGTCACAGGCTGCGACCTGCATGGATGCGAGGTGCTGCAAGCTCTGCTCCCAGCGCTGGCCTCAGCCATACGGCTATACCCACATCCAAAAATTCTGCAGGCGACCGCTTGAGGCTGCGATCGTCACAACTCAGCAGCAAGCCTTGGGGCTAAGCTGTTGGCTGTCAAAGTGGACCTCGAACCAAACACTTAGGATTCATGTCCGTACGCAGCAAGGCCGAAATACGACCTGAAGTTCTGAGCACCCCGGTCCAAGTAATTACACATGACCATGTCACCGCTACCCATGAAACCTCCGGGCTGCTTCGTCTTCAAAGGAAACTGCAGGAATCCGAGCCTACAACCTAAGACAGGCTAACGCAATTCCTTCCTGGCTTCCTTAGGCGGTGATGTTGTGGGATCCAGCATGCCACCAGGTGGCTTTGCTCCAGCGCGGACAGCACACCCATGTGCGAAACCACCTGTGCAAACATTGCATGAAGCATGTGTTGTGCTCGGCCGTTTCGTGTTTGTGCATCGGCCTGGGTTTAAGCGACTCATTGAGGATAGTTAAGAAGGTGTAGACCCGAAAAACAAAACTTGAAATACAGATCTGCGCCAAAGAACCGAATAGTTAACGCCACAGTGCGGGTGCTTCATGCAACCACAAGACGCGTAATGTTCACAGTGATGCTCAAAGCATCGAACCCTCCTCACACCGAAGCCGTGCCAAAATACGAATTGCACTGTGGTGGGAGTGCGATTCATCAAACTCGGTTTTACAAAGTTGACAAGGGCTGAATGTAACTTTGTCGTTGTAGCTATATCTGTATCAGCATTTCGTCTTACACTCTGCTATGTTCTCTGTACCTAAACAGGTTTCAGCAGATATCGAAAGATACAGATGCACGCCTGCATGCCATAGTGAGCACCTGCTGACGTTTTGTATGCTCATGGGCCATACCTGCATGCCTACAGAAGGACGAACAATGTGCCGCATGGCCGTTAAAGTTATAAGTACATATGACTACTGAGCGGACAGCATTCTTTCAGAAAGCTGCACTCGTGAATCCATCTGTCAGCTTGCTCAGCATAAGCTACATACGAGATGCGAGACCTTTCGTGTGTTTGTCCATTCTTGTTCCACCACCTAACCTGAACCTCAAACTCTTGAAGCCGGCCGGGGTGGCATTTTGCTCGGCTCGTACAACGACCATCTCCTGCCAAGTAGCGACGAGCAAATAAACAGCAAGACTTCGATAACGCCGACGACCGCTGTCAGACTGCAAGGCAGTGATTGCAAGACTCTCAGCCCTGGGCCGGGGAATATCGGGGAATCACGCCAGAAACGCATTCGACTCACGCCGGGCCCTTAAGCCCTCCCCAAGAAAAACCTGGGAGCCTCGAAGAGGCTAAGCGACAGCTCCCACTCTCCAGCGCGGTTTACGCTGGCGAGCAAGGAGTTAAAGCCTCTCTAGGCAACAAGACGGTTTAGGTTTGACATGTGCGCACAGGCTCCGATTCGGAGTACCTAGCAGGACCTAGCAGGGCCCGGGGCTTCTGCTGATTCCTGCTCATCCTATCACAAGCTCTCTTTGCTTTTCGAGTAGTTGTATTCTTGCTATCACTGCCAGGAATCGATCTATCTACATGTGACGGCCGCAAAACTTCCGACGGCACCGACAACGATTTGCAGGACGTGTACCGACGTGGCGCTTCAACAGGAACCCCAAATTTCAAACAGCCCTCGAAGTGATGATAGCAGCTGGCAGTTTCTGCTTCAGCTCAAATTGCTCCGTCTGCCCAGGGCTTGTGGTCAAAAGCTTCTGTGGGAATTGCAACGCCGAGCTGGTCCCCAAGGCTGTTCAGCAAAGAGGCTCCTCGAGTCTGGAGGGAGGAGCCAGGCTGACATGTCCCGCCTTAGACCGGGTCTTTGCTAAGCTGGAAATTACGCTTTGGCGCTTTGGATCTTCGCGAGTTATCTGGCGTGTACATGGCGCCACGTCGTCTCAAAACGTGCAGCTTGAGACTCCCATAGTACCAATTTTGCGAGAGGCCCAGAACTCAGTTTTTTCAGAAGCCATCTCCCTCTCAAACGCCAATCCATGCCGTGGAGGCACAGGATTTTCAAGGCCGAGTCCCAGTTCATTGCGCTGCCATGGGCCTTTATGCCTCTGACCCCACACAACAGAGCCAGGGTTTGAGGCAATTAAGGGGATTTGGAGTTTGCAAACAATCATATGGCAACCTGAGATCACCAAAAACAGTCCATTGCATTGCCACCTCAACCTTTCCTGCCTTCAAGACATGCGTATACTATGAAACGAAAGCGAATCCCTCATACGATGCTAGATTCAAATTTGGAGGAAAGGGACCTGGTAGTCTTTTTCACCCAGGTGTCCTGGGTGCAAGCATGGGGTGCGGAAGCTGGTGGTTCAGCGATGCGTGAGCTGCAAGTGCGCAAAAAAGGGGATGGGGAGGACCGGTGGCGAAGCGCTGAAGGGGTGGGACGCGGGGGTGGGGGCCGGTGCGCACTGTGGGAGTATTGCATGCTTTCCCTTCTGAGCCCTGCATGCCGTACCTCTTTCGGGATCCTGCCAAAAACTCCAAACTGCGGTCCGTGCACCACCCCGTGTCAGATTCTCCTGCCAGAGATTCCAAACCCTGCTCGTGCCCCGCCGCGCAAATACTACTAACTTCTCGAGCATTGTTTCGGCTGCGGTTTGGGACTTGCTAGCCCTAACATGGGACTTTGTAAGAGAAAAACGACCAAAACCGAAAACGCAGGTGCAAAATCGCCCAAAGTAATTTCCGAAAAACGACAATAACAATTAGGGTCCGCCGCGGGAGGGTGCTATAGACTCCCGCGCCCGCCCCACCCCGTCCCCCGCACATCGCAAGCAACAATGAACCAGTACTGTTCTACTAGTGGACTACTACTGCACTACTACTACTACTACTACTACTACTACTACTACTGCTACTACTACTACTACTACTACTGCTACTACTGCTTTGCTGCTACTACTACTACTACT